AGATTTAGCTATGACCAATTGCGTTGCTATAAATGTGGGTGGGCATATATCACTGTGGTAGGATGTTTTCAGTTTGTTTGGGAAAATATCTAGGAGGGGAATAGCTGGATTAAATGGGACCTCCAATTCTAGCTTTTAAAAGCAATCTCCACACTGATTTCCATGGTAGTTGTACCTGTGGAGAAGGGTTTCTTTTCCCCCAGAGTCCTTCCAGCGTTTGTTATTGGTTGACTTCTTGATAACAGCCATTCTTTTTTGGGTGAGATGGAATCTCAGTGCTGTTTAAATTTGCATTTCTTTTTTTAAAAAAATTATTTATTTATGTGTGTGTGTGTGTGGCCAGCTCAGCCCACGGGGGGCGGGGGGCTGGTGGCATGTGGTGCTGGGGGATTGAACCGCGGTCCCTGTGCTTTGCTAAGCTTGTTCTAAGTAGGTGCTTTAGACCACTGAGCCATCTCACCAGCCCTAAATTTGCATTTCTTAAAAGACCAACGATGTTGAACATTTTGTCTTTTTTTTCTCATTAAAATGAATAAAAAGTATAAAAATAAAAAATGTAAAAACAACAACAAAAACAAAAAGGTTCGAAAGTAGGATCTTAGGAAGGTATTTTATATTTGCATTCATAATAGTGTTGTTCATTGGAGCCTAAAGGTAGAGGCAACCAAATGTCCATCAATAGAGGAATCAAACAAAATAGTTAGCATAGATATACAGCTACTTTTTCTTAGTTCGATGAGAAAAAGTTTTGAACTAATAGTGTTTAGACAAGACATCATGTCTGCATCTTGTACTATGAATAACCACCACAAAGACAACAATATGCAACGTATTAGTTGTTGTAACTGTCCTACTAACCTGTTCTGAAACCATCTCACTGCTACTTCTTTCTCAATAAAATTGACATAAGAAAGAAAGGAAATAGAGGAATCAATAAAATGTGGTATGTATTAAAAAATACATTTATTTGCTGTTTGTATTTCTTCATCTGAGAAGTGCATATTGATCTTAGATGCTCACTCTTGAATTGGGTGTTTGAATTTTTGAGGCCTGAAATTTTAAACATTTTTTATATGTTTTACATAGAAGGCCTTTGTCTGAGAAACAGTTAGGTACATTTTCTTCCCAATTTGTGGGCTTTGTTTTCACTCTGCTGTTGATTTCTTTTGATGAGAAGAAACTTTACAGTAAGAGGAGATGCCAGTTGTTGATTCTTAGCAATATCTCCTGTGTAGTTTGGTTTTTGTTCATGAACTGCCTACCTACCTCTATGTCTTTAAGATTTCTACCTATTTTTTTCCTCCAAAGCACTTAGTGTTTCTGTTTTAATGTTTAAATCTTTGATCCATTTTGACTGTAGTTTAGTGCATGGTAATAGACATGGGTCTAGATTTAGCCTTTGACATGTGGAAAGCCAGTTTTCCCCACATTATTTATTAAAGAGACTATCTTTCTTTTAATGAATATGTTTAGCTGCATGAAAGATAAGGTGGCTGAGTGTGTTTGTAGTTGTGTCTGCATCTTTTAATCTGTGCCATTGATCCTCTGGTCTGTTTTATTTTCCAGTACCATGCTGAAATATCACAGTAACTTTGTAGTGTAATTTCAAGTCCGGGATGTGATGCCTTTTGTCTTTCCTTTGTTGCCTGCGATTGTTTTTACTATTTTGGCTCTTCTCTGGTTCCAGATGAATTTTGGAAATGTTTTCTCTAGTTCTGTGAGGTATACTAATGATATTTTAATTGGAAATTGCATTGAATATGTATAACAATTTTGGGAGTATGGCTATTTTCACAATGTTGATTCTTTCTATCCAGGAGCAAGGAATATCTTTCCATTTTATGAAATCCTCTTCAATCTTTTTTCTCAGAGTACTGTAGTTTTTACTATATATCTTTTACTTTGTGAGGTCGATCCGTAAGTATTTCATTTTCTGGTGTTATTGTTAAACGTGTTGCTTTACTAATTTCACTCTCTGTGCTTTCATTGTTTGTATACAGAAATACTGTTGATTTTTAAATGTTGACTTTGGATCCTGCTACTCTACTGAATTTGGTTTTTAAATCTACAAGTGTCTTGGTGGAGTTTTTGGGGTTTTCTACAGAGTATCATATCATCTGTGAATAATGATAATTTCACTTCTTCCCAGTCATTATTTCTTTTATTTCTCTGTCTTGTCTAAACACTTTGGCTAATATTTCCAGAATTATATCAAATAGGAATGGAGACAGTGGACATCCTTTTCTTGTTCTTGATTTTAAATTGAAAGCTTTCAGGTTTTGTCCATGATGATGTTGGCTGTTGGTTTGCCATAAATGCCTTTTATCAGGTTGAGGTATAGAACAACTATTCTGATTTTCTGTGGGGTTTTTATCATGAATGAGTTTTGGGTTTTGTCAAAAGCTTTTTCTGCATCTATTGAGATGATCATGTGGTTTTTGTCTTTGGCTATGTTGATGTAGTGTTTTCCATTTATCTATTTGCATATATTAAACCATTTCTGCATTCCTGGGATGAATCCCACTTGGTCATGATGTATAATCTTCTTGATGATTTTCTGCATTCTGTTTGTTAGTATTTTATTGAGTATTTGTGCATCTATGTTTATGAGGGAGATTGGCCTGTAGTTTTCTTTTTAGGTAGCTCCTTCTTCTTTTTTTCTTTTTTCTTTTTCTTTTTTGAATTTAGGACAAGGTCTACAGGGTCTCACTGCATAGATCAGACTCACAGTGATCCTCCTGTCTACAGCCTCCCAAGTGCTGGGGTTACAGGTGTGTGCCACCACGCCCAGTCTCAATTGCCATCTTAGCGCACCCCTGGGGGCGGGGCCAGCACAGGAGACCCAGGGATCAAACTCCCAGTCCCTGCATCTGCCTAAGCAGGGGCTTTAATGCACTGAGATATTTGGCTGGTCCCTCTTTCTTTGGTTTTCGTATCAGAGTAATACTTGTCTCCAGGAATGAGTTTGGGAAAATTGCTTCCCTTTCCACTTCATTGAAGATTTTGAGGAGTATTGGGATTAAATCTCTAAATTTCTTGTAGAATTCAGCTATGAATCTCTTAGGGCCTGGGTTTTTCTTTGTTGGTAGGATTGTTAAATTACGTTTTCAATTTTATTTCCTGTTTTTGGGTTATTCAGATCATTTATATCTCCTTGATTCAACTTTGGTAATTCATATGTATCTAGGAATCTGTTCATTTTTTCCATCTTATGAAAGATTTTGGAAATAGGTATTGATGATCTTCTGAATTTCTGTAGGGTCTCTTGTGATTTTGCTGTTTTCATGCTTATTGCATGAATTGGATTTTTTTCCCCTTTTCTGATAAGCTTGTCTAGTGGTTTATCAATTTTATTTATTTTTTCAAAGAACCAACTTTCTGATTAATTCTTTGTATTGTTTTCTTCATCTCTATAACATTAATTTTTGTTCTGATCTTTATAATTTCTTGCCTTCTTTGGATTTTGGGCTTGACTTTTTCTTTTTTTTCTAGGAGCTTAAGGTTCAGCATAAGATTGTTTATTTGGGCTTGTTCTGTTTTACTAATATGTGAATGTATCACTATAAATTTCCCTTATAGGCTTGAAAACAGGAGAATCACTATGAGTCTGAGCTGTGTAGTGAGACCCTGCACAAAGTACTTAAAAAAATTTCCCTTGTAAAACAGCTTTGATTGCATCCCACAGGTTCCTGTAGGGAATGATAAAATCTGCATTTTCATTTGGTTGTAAATATTGTTTTAGTTGTTCTTTAATTTAATATGTAACCAGTGGTTGTTCAGGAGGGTGTTTACATTCATATCTTTATGGTGTTTTTGTAATTTTTTTGTCAATAATTTCCAATTTTATTGCACTATTGTTAGATAACATTCATGGGATAATTTCAATTCCTTTACATTACCTAAGCATGCTCTGTGTGCCAGTGTATGGTCTATTTTGGAGACTCTCTCTTGTGCAACTGAATGTCTCTTGAGCAACATTCTGATGTTGCTGGGTGGAACGCTGTAAAGGTCTACTACATCCATTTATTCACAAGCTTGGTTTAGTTCTGTTGTTTGTTTGCTGACTTTTTTGCCTAATTGATCTATCTCTTTGTGGCATGGAGTGTTAAAGTCCCCCATTACAATTGTATCATTGCCCATTTGGTTTTTCTTTTTCTTCTTCCTTCCTTCCTCCCTCCCTCCCT